ACCTCTCGCGCGATACCCCGCTCCCGCTTCCCCCCCCTTCTTCCCACCTCCCGCGCGATACCCCGCACACCTCTCTCCCCGCGCGCCGCTACCTCCAGCCCGCGCGCTTCTTCCCTTGCGCGATCTTTTCCCCCCCGTCGCTCCCCTCCTTCCACCAACTTCCTCCCTCCCACGCGCAACCCGCGCGCGACTTCCCCCCCCCCACGTTTCCCCCCTACCATCATTATCATCATCATCATTATCATCATCATCATCAATCTACCCGTACCCTACCTACAACGCTACCACCATTCAATTGTAGATAGGATCGCTCCACCCTCGATTTGCATCAAAACTCATTTATTCCTTTATTGCAATCAGACTCGCTTTCATTCACACTTTACATGTATGCAAACAGTAGCACAGCAAACTGGCGACATGCGCCCACTCAAAACTCAGAGATATGACAACCCAGATAAGAGTTCACTTCCGATGGCTATGGCGACTCAGCGCCCAAACAACTCTCTGCTCGCATACACCGGATCACCCTGGATATCCCACACGCAACTCTCAGAACACTCACACACACACACACACACACACTGAACCTCATCTACAGCTATGGCGGCACTAGCCGCTGCTACCCTATCGCTATGCTATGCTCCTCTCTCGCCCACTGCGTCCTCCGGGCTCACTGCAGACCTCCTGGCACAAGTCGCTGTGGCAGCGCTTCCGCATGGCTCACGTAGGAATGAATGAATGGCTGGGCGCTGCCTCTTACTTTATACTTCTGAAACTCGTTGGTCTGCCCTTTGCCATCGGCCCATGGTGCTCACAGTCCCTCGTGGTACTTGCTGGACCGGACTGGGACTGACTGAACTTTGAAGAATGTTTTTTAGTTATTATAATACACAATATGGAAAATTAACAAATTTTGATGAAAAAATAAAAATTACAATTTATGGCTACACAAATCGTTGAAGATACTATTAAATCTGCTGACTGAACGGGGATTCACTGCTATCTCACCGAAGTCGTACTGCGATCGCACTGGGGTTTAGTCCACCACTTGACTCACCACTTGACTCACCACTTGACCACTTGCCCACTTGCTGACCTTCTAGAAGGACTACAGCTAGGACTTCTGGAATTTGCCAAGACTTCTATTCTACAGATCTACAGATCGAACCCCAGCTACCTACGGACCTAGGACAGCCTACCAACTGTTTACGAATGCACAGGTCACAGGTTCAACACTCGGGGTCTACACAAGTACTGTACGCAGGTAGGGCAAGGTCTAGTGTTGCATACTGTAACGTGCAGACCAGAACAAGAACCGACCTCTCCATACAAAGTACAAGATAACACAGCGGAAGACTTAGATACCAGTGATCCGAACAATCAATATTGCAATGCAGCCCTGAACATACATCATCATCATTGTTACATGGTGTGAATGGGGTCTGGCGCTTCAAACAGGAAGACTGCGCCAGCCCCTACCATACACAGACGAAGAAGAAGGGATGAGACGAAGAGGAGGGGAAAGATGGGAATGTCGTCAACACCAAGTCTTCGGCACAGGCCCAAATAGTCCCT